AAGAGAAGACTTGTCGTGATCGTAAGCGCACCGCGGAGGCATACAAGACAGGCGCGACACACTTTCAGCGCACGTGGTTCTACTCATTGTGTCCTTGCGTTGCGTCTATTCCCGCCAAGTCGAGGCCAACCACCCCCGCGACCGACCACCCGAGCGCCATCGACGATTCAGACATCGACAGCAACACGCCGCGGCCTGAAGACCAGCAAACGACGCCGACACTGACAGCCGCGCGGAAAGTGAAGAGCCTTGGGTGGGTTCTCTTCGACTGTCGACACGTTGAGCGGATCACCTCACGCATCGGGCAGAGACAGAGACTGGCAGCCCGAGTGGCCGCACACCATGCGTCAAGATGGACACAACGGACCTTGCAGTGGCATCCAAGTCACACACACACACACACCGGCAAACCATACCGCCACCATGGTGGTCGACAAAAACGCTGGGACGACAAGATAAGGGCATTGCTTCGCAAGTGCTTCTTGGACGACAGTACCTACGCCAGGGGAGTCCACTCACATACGGCACGGTGACATCAACGACACAGCTTGGACACCACGACATGAGACCTTGCCAGTGCCTTTCCGAGGGCAGCGGCCTTGTCCTTGTCCCGCTCAAATGGGCGCGGCTCTGCTCACAGCACAGCTGGACGGACGCTCGGTTCCCCCCCTCCGCTGCGACTTTGGTCAAGGACCTGCTGTGACCCACCTCACACACACAGACACACACGCTGGCGCGGGAGCGACCCGACGTTCTGGCCCAGGCGTGTGCCTGCGCAGGCGGAGGAACACATTACCCGCGGCGCGGCAGCGGCCCCCCCACAACGGAAGCTCTCCGACGGGCGGGCTGCGTGGCAGGCTTGTCAAACAGGCCGCAGTACTGCGCACGAAGGTCTCCATGGCCCGAGTGCGCCGCTCGCCGCACGAAGGTCTCCATGGCCCTCCTCCGCGGTCGCCCTGCTCCTCTTGCCTACCCTCAGGTGTGCATGGTTCGCCTTGCAGCGTCCCCGCTTAGGCCCTGACCGCGCTGTGCGAGAGCCAGCGCCGCGGCCAAAAGTGAGGCCCGTCGAGCCTTCGAGCTCCGAGGGCGGCTTGTTGCCCAGCGCGACCTGTTTCGTTGATTCCGAAGGAGCTCTGGCCCTGCTTGCTCATCCAGTGGCTTCGCCGTGCTCCGAGGGTGTCAGAGCAAGATGCGAGCTCCGACATCCTGGGACGGCGCCTGTGGCTCCGGTGGATCCTGATTCTCCTCCTCTCGATCGGCGGAACGGGCTCGAGCCCCTTTGCGCGCGCCTCGACTTGATCGTTTCCGAAGTTCTGGAGCGGTCGCCGTAGGCATCCGGTCCGCCATCAACGCCTTTCCGGCTGCCCTCGGCTGGTTCCTTCAGCTGGTGCCTCGGCTGGTTCCTTCAGCTGGTGCAGGCCCAGGTGGATCACGCCATAATTATTGGCCTCAGCATCTACGAGCTCAGGCGGCAATTCGAGGCCCAGCCCCAGCAGCACGGCAACCATGTTTTGTCTTGTGATCATTGCACGAGGACCTCCCAGAACGAGCCTGCGCCCATGCGGGCGAAGGTGGCCGCATTGCGCATTGAGACTGTGGCTCATGGGAAGCAGCGGTCTGGGCTGCCAGGTGGCTCCTCCTTTGCCTTTGGAAGGGGGCCGGGGACGACGGTGCTCAAGATCAAGCGGTCCAGGTTGTTCAGGGTAGTGTTTTGAGCACGTCATCTCAACGTTGATCGCCGAGGTGGGGTGTGGCGCGATCTCTGCCGTCCTCCTCGCCCTCCTCCTCCCCGTTGTTCTCCTCGCTTTCCTTTGCGAAAAGTGGGGGCGTTCGTTAAGGAATGTGCTCGGGAGGGTTCAGGTCCTGGAGGATTCCTTACCTGATGATGGCGGCGGGGATATCCATGGCCAACCCTCACTTTGTGTTCCGCTGGCGCTCAGACCTGGGATTCATTATCCAAGGGTTCCTTGTCCAATGCCCTCACGGGCCCTCACCGTATCCAAGGGTAAGAGGCACGTAGGTGCAATTCTCCCGCCCTCCCCTCGGAGGGCTCTCCCCGCTGCCCCTGGCCCGCAAGCTACTCGGCCCCTCTCTGGCTCGAGCTGCGGGGGGCCCGCTCCAGAGCCCGAGCGATCCCCTGCCGCTCTGCTGGTCTTGGTGGCCCGGGGCTAGCTAATGGGAGTCTGGTTGGGGCGGCTGGAGGCGCGTCGTGATGCCACTGCTACGCGCCTCCAGGTGTGACATCATCACACCAGAACTCTCTGACATCATCGCGCCAGGCGTGGTGTTCGGAGACCTCCAGGCGACACGAACAACATCACGACGGGTGTGTTTTCGCAATGTCGGCGCCTAGGGGCAATCTTCGGGCCCCCGGGCCCAGCACAGGCCGCCGCGACAAAAGACTGGTCGAGTCCAGGGGCCGCGTCGTGTACAAAACGGCGTCGGAGGTCTGGGTAGTGGTGGTGTGATGATGTCATGGACGATTCGCCCAGCTCGCAGCAATATGCGCTCGATGGGCACTGAGGGCCAGTCCATCATCCCAAAGAGCAGGCAGTTTACCCAGCGAAAGTACGTGCGTGCACTCGGATTGATGTCGTTGCACCCCCTCGCTGTTGTAGGAGTGGAGGCAGGCCCGCACCAGCAGTTGATGCTGGATGTTCTTTGTCACGTTTCTTGACGCTGTGGTTTGGCCCTCTGCTGGCTCCCTCGGCGCCACCGCTGCGCACAGTTCGAAGACCTGGTCAGGACGGTGCCATTGTCAAGCTACGGGGGCATTGTCCGGACGACAGGAAGGCACGTACACGGCTCTAGCCACCCTGCGCTCACATGCACATCAAAGTACGCGTGCATGCACACACATGCACTCATTCACTCATACACACATGGACATGCACACATACGCACAAGCATTTACATCCACACCTACGTTTACATATTCATATACAGATGCACAGACATTCACCTTTCCTCCGACGCTCCGGAGAGTTTAATCGGCGGGCAATGCAACGGCGGTCGCGGACACACACACAACCAACACACACAACCACAACCGCAACCAGAACCACAACTACAACCACAACCACAACCACAACCACACGCACACCAGGCGCACACACACATACTCACGCACACAACTACATTCATACGCGCATAACGCGCACAAGCGCGCACGACCAACCCCGTGGACACGTATTTGGCCTTCCGCCGACGGAGGCGCCACCAGATGATTCCTACCAATGGTCACGTACTGTGTTGCCCTTCCTTGACTTCTGTTGTGTGGTGCCCGGTTATATGAATGATCGGCTGGATCATCGGGGGATGCACGCAGAACGGTTTCATACATTTGCAGTGGCATCGTTGTTACGCTGCTGTTCCTCGTCCTCCTGCTCCTCCTCCTGCTCTTCCCCGTCTTTCCCTCCACTTTTTCCTGCTCCGCGAGTTCCCCGAGTCTGGAGCTGTTGCATGTGTTTGCCTTCGTTGCCTTGCGGTCGGCCTCGCTCGCGCTGTGCGTTCGGGATGGCCCCCTTGAGGGGCAGCGGATTCCTCCCTCTCCTCTGCTTGGTTGCGGACGGTGGGGTCGTAGCAAGATGGAAGGTGAAACATGCCAAGCACGCGCGCACACGCGAAGACAGACTTCTTGGCGCCGCGGCCGCGAGCGCAGCGACGCAGCGTTGTCAGTCAGCAGAGTGCCCGAAGCGTGCGGCCGGGGCCTCCGAAACGCGCCCGAGGCCCCACACAGCGCCAGGCGGGGAGCGCAGGCCTCACCCGCAGGGAGCAGCGCTGTGCGGGCATCCTCTCATCGAAGACATGCGCAGGCACCGCCACCCAGACACTCTCTCTCTCTCTCTACCTATCCCTCCCCTCTCTCTCTCTGTCTCCCCTGTTCGCTCTCTTTCTCTCTTTCTCTCTTTCTCTCTCTCTCTCTCTCTTCCACCCTTTGCTCTCTGTCTATAGCTCTCTCTCTCTCTGTCTCTCTCTCTCTCTCTCTTTGACACGCATGCGCACGCATATGCATGTAGACGCGCGCGCACACAGACAGACACGCACACACACACACACACACACACACACACACACACACACACACACACACACACACACACACACACACACACACACACACACACACACACACACACACACACGCGCGCGCGCGCGCGCGCAACACACTCTCTCCCTCTGTCTCTCTCTCTCTCTCTTTCCCTCCCTCTCTCTCTCTCTCTCGCTCCCTTCTCTCTCTCTCTCTCTCTCCCCCCCCTTCGCTCTCTATATTGTTGTTTCTTTCCTTCTCTCTCTCTTTCTCCCTCTCTCTCTCTCTCTTTCTCTCCTCCTTTTTGTTTTTCTCTCTTTCTCTCTCGCATTCTCTTTTTCACACGCATGCGCACGCATATGCATGTAAACGCACACGCACACGCACACGCACACGCACACGCACACGCACCACAGGCACGTTTGTTCCTCCACCCGCGCTGTACTATACGAGCACGTCCAGAGCTTTCGGGCGCAAGATCTGGGTAACCTCTATGTGTCACGGACCGACGGACGCACATACGCGCACAAACAAACACTCTTACACACTCAAGCACTCATACATGACTACGCATGGGCAAACGCAACAGAACACGCGAACGTAGTCGCAAGCGCAAATCCAAATTCGCGTCATCTCTCTCTCTCTCTATCTCTCTCTCTCTCTCTCCCTCCCTGGCTCTGTCTCCCTCTCTTGCTCTCTGTTTCTCTTTGCCTCTCTCTCTCTCTCTTTCTCTGGTTCCCCTTTTCCTCTCTCTCTCTCTCTCTTTATCAATCCTTTTCTCTCTCTCTCTCTCTCTTTAGGGTGTGTGTGTGAGGAGGAGGAGGATGCACACAGGCGGAGGAGGGCGCGGAGGAGGATGAGAAGGAGGAGAAGCAGGAGCTTCCCACAGGGGACTCGGAGACCTGTCCCGTCGCTGATTGCTGCCCCCGCAGGTCTGCGGGTTGGCGCCGACTGCCGGCTGCGCTCGCCCATGGCCGCCGCAGGAGGCTTCGGACACACTGTGCTGGTCCGGAGCGACGGCGCGCCCGTCGCCTGCGGTGCCAATCTGTTCGGGCAGTGCGACCTGCCAGCGCTGGCCTCGGGTCAGACCTGCTTGCAGGTCGATGCGGGTAGCCGCCACACAGTGCTGCTTAGGAGCGACCGCGTGGCCGTCGCATGCGGCCACAATGGGGAAGGGCAGTGCTACCTGTTGGCGCAGCCGTTGGCGGCAGGTCAGACCTACACGCAGGTCGCCGCGGGAGGCCGCCACACGGTTCTCCTCAGGAGCGACGGCGTGGCCATCGCATGCGGTCACAAAAGGGAAGGGCAGTGCTACTTGCCAGCTCTGGCTGCGGGTCAGACCTACATTCAAGTCGCTGCAGGAGGCCGACATACAGTTTTGCTCAGGAGCGATGGCGTAGCAGTTGCCTGCGGCCACAATCGGGAAGGACAGTGTTGCCTGCCAGCGCAGCCATTGGCAGCAGGTCAGACCTACACGCAGGTCGACGCAGGTGATTCCCATACAGTTCTGCTCAGGAGCGACGGCGTGGCATTCGCCTGCGGTCACAATAGGCAAGGGCAGTGTGGCCTGCCGGCGCTTGCTGCGGGCCAGACCTACGTGCAGATCGCCGCGGGAGGCCGCCATACAGTTCTACTCAGGAGTGATGGCGTGGTTCTCGCCTGCGGCCACAATACGGAAGGGCAATGCTGCCTGCCGGCGCGGCCGATGATGGCCGATCAAGTTTACACGTACGTCTCAGCGGGGGATTCACACACAATCCTGCTCAGGAGCGACGGTGTGGCCATCGCTTGCGGTCACAATGGTAAAGGGCAGTGCAGCCTGCCTCCGCTGGCTGCTGGTCAGACCTACACGCACGTCGCTGCCGGACATTCTCACACAGTCTTGCTCAGGAGCGACGGTATTGCCGTTGCTTGCGGCGCCAATGGGGACGGGCAGTGTGACTTTCCAGCGCTGGCTGCGGGCCACACTTACGTGCAGGTCGCCGCGGGAGATTTCCACACAGTCCTGCTCAGGAGCGACGGCGTGGCCGTCGCCTGCGGTGCGAATGAGGACGGGCAGTCCTGGCCGCTGGCCACGGGCCAGACCTACACGCAGGTCGCCGCGGGAGACTCTCACACGGTCCTGCTCAGGAGCGACGGCACGGCAGCTGCTTGCGGCCACAATAGGCAAGGGCAGTGCAGCATGCCTTCGTTGGCTGCTGGTCAGACCTACACGCATGTCGCCGCGGGAAGTTTTCACACTGTTCTGCTCAGGAACGACGGCGTGGCCGTCGCCTGTGGTGCCAATGTCTTCGGGCAGTGCCGCCTGCCGGCGCTGGCTGCGGGTCAGGTCTACACGCAGGTCGCCGCTGGCGGCCGCCACACAGTCCTGCTCAGGAGCGACGGCGCGGCCGTCGCGTTTGGGGACAATTCTCGTAAACAGTGCGATTTGCCCGTGTTGGCTGCGGGTCAGATGTATCGGAGACGCCTGCGGCCAATCACCGCCACCCCCCGCCTTTTGAAAGTGTCCATGCGGCCAATTGTTGGGCGGACGTCTGGACAGGCTGTTGGACTATGTGTTCTCCCCCTTTTGGGAGAGGATGAGGGGGAGAGAGACCAGTGTAAACCCAAGACCCATCAACGGTGCTGCAACAAAACCACCCTCCAAGTTTCCCCTGCATAGGTCCCTGCAAGAATTCACCCAGTTGCCTGCGGCAGGTCCCGCCACCGTGCCAGACTAGCATTCTGGGTGGCGACGGTTCGAGGGGGCACCGAGGTCGTCAGGTGTGGCACTTCGTGTCTACAGGCTTGGGAGAGCCGTGATGATGACGATGATGATGATGATGATGATGATGATGATGATGATGATGATGATGATGATACTTATGAGGATGATGGAGGTGATGACGACGACGATGCTGATGATGCTGCTGCTGATGATGATGATGCTGGTGATGATGATGACGATGATGATGATGACGATGATGCTGATGGTGATGATGACGATGATGATGAGGATGATAATGATGCTGACGATGCTAATGATGATGAGGCTGATGCTGATGATGATGGTGGTGATGATGGTGTTGACGACGACGATGATGATTTGGATTATTAGTATGGTGATTATGATGATGATGATGTTGGCCATATTCATTGAAGATGAGGATGACTATGATGATGACGACGCCGACGATGACGATGACGTTGATTGTGATAATGCTGATGCTGATGATGATGACGATGACGACGACGAGGATGGTGTTGACGACGACGGCGATGACGATGACGATGACGATGATGATGATGATGATGCAGATGATGAAGCTGATGATGATGATGATGATGATGATGATGATGATGATGAGATAATGCTGATGGTGATAATGCTGCTGCTGATGATGATGCTGGTGATGATGATGGTGGTACTGATGATGATGAGGAGGAGGAGGCTGAGGATGCGGATTACGAGGATAATGATGCTGGTGGTGATGGCGATGACGAAGATGATGACGATGCTCATGATGCTGCTGCGGATGATGATGATGATGATGGTGATGATGTTGATGCAGATGCAGATGATGATGATGATGATGATGATGATGATGATGATGATGATGATGATAGTGATCATGACGATGAGGGATGATGTTGATGATAATGATATTGTGATCTGGTGGTGGTGATATATTGATGATGGTGATGGTGATGATGATGATGATGATGATGATGATGATACTGATACTGATGATGATGCCGATGATGATGATGCTGCTGATGATGATGATGATACAGATGCTGATGTTGTTGAAGATGACGATGTTGATGATGATACTGATGTTGATGCTGATGATGATGATGATGATGTGCTGCTGATGATGATGATGATGATGATGATGATGATGATGATGATGATGATGATGATGATGATGATGATGATGATGATGATGATGTGGAGGAGGAGGAGGAGGAGGAGGAGGAGGAGGAGGAGGAGGAGGAGGAGGAGGGAGGAGGAGGAGGAGGAGCAGGAAGACGAAGAAGAGGCTTCTTGATGCCCTCATTGGGCCTCCTGGGGGCTTCCTGCGAACTTGTTGGGGGCCTCTGACGGGCCTCTTGGGGTCCTTCGGGGGCCTCCTCTGGGCCGTCTTGGGTGCATCTTTGGACCATCTTGGACCCTCTTTGTGCAATTCTGGCCGTCTAGGAGGCATCTTGGGACCGTCTCGGAGGCCATCTCAGGCCATCTTGGCCGTCTTGGTGGCGTCGAGGGCCTTGCCTCACACCTTTTGGGAACTCTTCGGGTGGCCTGCGCGAGGGCCGAGACCCCATTTGGAGCTTTTGAAGAGGACCAGAGACTTTGTCACATTGGCAAGCTGCGCATCCCTGTGGCAAGCCACAGGGGGCGGCGAATCGAGCGGTCTTCGTCCCATTCCGCCAGCGTGCCGTGGTTTTAGTTCAGAGGCTTCCCAGAAGACTCTTGAATACAGGCTTGGGGTGTGCTTGATGCTTGTCGGGGGTCTCTTGGGGCCTGGTTTGGGTCTCTTGGGGGTCTCCTGAGGCTTCTGGGGGGTCTCTTGGGGGTCTGCTGGCGGTCTCGCAGGTCGTCTTAGGTCGGAGGGCTCGAAATGCCGATTCGTGTTCCCCCTCTTGGGCCCATCTTGGGGCCCTCTTGGGGCGTCTTGGGGGCCTTTTGGGCCGTCTCGGGCTTCTCTTGGGCTGTCTGCCCTCTCCAGCAGTTTTGAGGCGATCTTGGGGACCTGTCGGGCTGTCTTGGAGCGTCGAGAACTTGAAAAGGCGAGAACGCTAATCGTGGTCAAACGCCTTTAGACATAAGTTCAACGCTCTTTGGAAGTGCTCTTGGAGCCGTCTTAGGGCGTCTGGAGGCGTCTTGGGCCGTCTGGAGGCCACCTTGGGCGTCTTGGAGCGATCTTTTCCGCGACTCGGGGCCCTCCCAGACCGTATGGGGGCCTCTTGGCTTCGAACAGTCCCGCGAAAATGCGAGGGGACACGCGGCACGTTCCATGGAATCTGGAAATTTCGGACTCAGGCCCTGACAGATTCGATCCCCAGGACTGAAGACGGAGGCTTCAGGGGACCTGAGGACATTCCCACTCGTGCCTCGGGTCACGGTGGCGGATACGCATGTCGCCGCGGGAGGCTTACACACGGTCCTCCTCAGGAGCGACGGCACGGCCGTTGCCTGCGGTGAAAATCTGGTCAGACAGTGCGGCCTCCCGGCGCTGGCTGCGGGCCAGGCCTACAAGCAGGTCGCCGCGGGCTTCTCCCACACGGTCCTCCTCAGGAGCGACGGCGTGGCCGTCGCCTGCGGTGCCAACGGGGACGGACAGTGCGACCTGCCAGCGCTGACCGGGTTGACCTTCGGCTTGCCGCCGCTGCTCCTGCAGGCGTCGCTTGAGGGCGGCTCCGTGCGCTTCGTGACCTTCGGCGGGGCGGAGCGCTGCCGGGTCGGGGCGGCGCCCTCCGCTCGGCTCGCCAGCGTGCGCGACGAGCTGTTGGCCAGCCATCGTGCAGGCAGGCTGGGGCCCGGGTTCGGTGGGGTCGACGCCGTCCTGCCAGGCCCCGGGGCTTCAGAGCAGCGCCTCCACATGTCCTTGCCGTCGCCCTCGCCCTCATCGTTATCCTCGTCCTCTGCGTCTTCTTTCTCCCCCTCGGGCTCGTCCCCCTCGTCCTTCTGGCCTCCCGTTTCTTCTCATCCTCTCCCGCTATCCTGCCTCTTCTCCTCCTCCACCCCCTCTTCCTTCTCCTCTCTTCTCCTCTCGCTTCACCCTCCTCCGAGCCAGGCGGAGGGCTCCTGAGCCACGCCTCCGCCGAGGAGCCCCCGACTCTCTGGGGAACCTGTGAAAACCAACGCCAGCCATGCGTTTGCAGGGCGCCAACTGCACGACAAGTTTGTGTCGCGTTGACGCGGCGGCGACCCCAACGCAGGCGTTCAAGGTGAAGGCCCCCACGGGCCAATACTGAAAACATCCGCTCTCGAAAAGCGAAGATCGCTCAATGTCAAACGATCTGACTACGCGGTGCCAGAATAAACGTCCACGTCGTGACGACAGACACCTGCCATGCATCTACCCATCAGCCCTTACATGCGGGTGTCGTGCACCGCATCACGACCGTCTGCTTCGTCCGTTTCGGGCCCCGGTCCTTACCTGGACGGATCCAGCTCGAAACAGGACGGTTCTTACCTGGACGGTCCTTACCTGGACTTTCCGTGGCCAAGCCAGGATGGCGCATGCACTGATCCTGGGCCAGGTGGGGAGGGGAGGGGGCCTGGCCAGGATCGGTGTGAATGCATGTTTGGCGCTCTCATATCCCTGACCCTCCCTCTCACCCTCTCGCAGGCATTGGACCATGAGTCAGGTTTTCGGGGTGGGTGGTCCATATTCTGGTGGCACTGGAGGTCTGACGATGTCAGTTTTGGGCTGGGCTGTTCACGCCCGCGGAATACGAATCCAGGTGGAGGCGCATGGTCCTCCTCTCTACCTCCCTCCTCCTCCCCTCCCTTCCCCCTTCCTCCCCCCCCCTCCCTTCCCCTGGCGCTGGAGGTCGAGGCTCCCCGCGGGCCCAATGGCACGCGGTCCGCCCCGCGCGAGGACGTTTTCTGCGATCTCCTGCAGGAGCGAGGTGACGACACGAGCAGGGAGAGCGCGGCCGGGTGCCTGCGCTGCTTTGGCACGAAGCAGAAGGTGACGTGCTGCTGGGAACACGCAGGCCATACGGGGCATACTCCCACTGCGGGCGGTCGGCAAACTGAGCAAGTCGCGTGGTCTGCTTGTGCGGGGCTGTAGCGCCGCAGAAAAACAGATCAAAGCTGCGCGAGCTGTCCACGGTGAAGCCGTCGTCAATGGCGAGAGCGGCGGCAAGGGTGATGGCAAGAGCCTACAGAAGGCGTGCGGTGCAACTGAAGGTGCGTCGGACGAGGTGGTCCAGCTTTCGATGCGCGTCGAGCAGCTCGTCGCAACGCTGCAGAAGGGCGATGGTTAGCTTTTTCTTTGGTGACGGTGGCGCGGTGGAGCGTCGCAACCTACCTCGTGGTCCCTCGGCTGCGGCGGGAGGCGTTGCAGGACACGTCAATCAGAAAGACATTTGCGCGGACAACGGCGGTGGTCACTCGCAGCCCAACCAATTCGCAACCATCAGCGCGAATATGGACAATCTGCAAAAAGGTCGCTGGCCCTCCTCCTTGCAGAGGCCCATTTCGCGGATGTGCGGGCTTCCTTGCAATTTGGTGCCGACGCGGCGAAGACCGACATGAAGACGATATTTCCACCTCAGACGGCCTCTCGGCGAGCGCAGCAGGCTGTCGAGAAACACCATAAGCGTGTGGCCATTTTGCAGGATGAGCTCGAGGGCAAGAAGCGCAACTTGAAACAGTTCCAGGACTCCACCAAACAGCGGGCTCAGGCGGCCGAGGCGAAGCGACTCTATATCGAAGCTTTCAATGCTGCCTTTGCTAACGCAGCCGCGGCGATGGGCGTTGGAGCGTCTGCGCCGTCGCTGGAGGTATCACAGGACGATCTCAGGGATCCTGATGTCAAAGTCTTTTTCTGCAGACCAGGGCTCGGACCAAACTGCGCACGTAAATACGAACCGTAGCACCCCGCAGGTGCGGATAAGAGTGAGGGGGCGGTGGGGACGTCGGCAGTTTACGAGACTCTGGAGAAGCCCGCCGCAGGCGCCAACGTTTCACACATTAACCAACGAGCCCGCCGCAGGCGCCGATTTTCGCATTAAACCAATGTGGGTAGGTCGTGGGTGGGACGCGGGTAGGTCGCAAATGGGTCGCGGGTGGGTAACGGGTGGGTCGCGTGCGTAGAGGGCAGAACATCCATCAAATAATAATCACCCAGACAGTCGAAGCCGTTTAGTAAACGCACACAAGGAAATAATCGAAGAGGGCAGGGCTGTTTAGTCGACGCGCAGGTCCGTTCAGTAAACGTCAATTGTCGGGTCCTGGTGTTTTTTCCTCCCTTGAGGGTGGGTCGCGGGTCGCGGGTGTGCCGCGGACGGGTCGCGGATGGGTCGCGGGGTAGGTCGCGGGTGGGTCGCGGGGTGGGTGTCGCGGGTAGGTCGCGGGTGGGTCGCGGGTGGGTCGCGGGGTGGGTCGCGGGTGGGTCGCGGGGTGGGTCACGGGGTGGGTAGCGGGGTGTGTCGCGGGGTGGGTCGCGGGTGGGTCGCGAGTGGGACGACGACAACAAACAACAACAACGCAACAAACAGAACTCTCACCACGAATTCCTTATTCAGCCACGCACCCAGGGACAATGAATGACTGTTCGGCCCCCTCACTCTGACTAAGCTTGGTGTTGATTGTGCGATTGGCCCTGCAACGAGTGCTCCCGCTCGTAGCGTTCCTGACGGCGCTGATGTTTCGACAAGTCCAGCGATGGTCAGAAGCGGGCGCTCGTCTATGCTAGGGAAAAGAGAGAGGAGTCGACGCCTTCATGGCCGCCATCGCCAAGCTTGGAAAAAGGAGGCCGCTCTCAAACGACAACGTCTGAGGTGATGCCCAGCTTCTCGCTGGGCTTCTCCATCTTGATTTTCGGATGCCCGATAGCTTCAGGGACGGCTCCGTGATCGCGGCCGACGTAAGTGACGCGCGGAGTGGGCCTCGCCTTTATGACGGAGAAGGCGCGCGGCTCGACGAAGCAGGAATCCGGCGCCGAATGCACCCCTGCTGTTGATGACTGCGGTGTGCGAGCATGCGCTTGCGAGAGATCGTGGCCGGGGCCGCGCTGCAAGTGAGCGCGGCGGTCGTCTCCCACCGCGCCTGCAGGAGCGCATCTACGCCTCTGGATGGAACTGCGTGCTGACGAGGCAGCTCTCCACACCGCCGTTGCCGATGTGCTGCTGGCTCGGGAGCTCTGCCGCGTAGCAGGGCATCTGGAGGCGCTGGCCTCACGGGCACAAGGGCGAGGATGGCGCGTGCTTGCGCTGCCGCGCGCCCGCTGCCGGAGTGCTGCCTTGCGCGGGCGCTGCAGCCTTCGTTCTCGACGGGTGCGGACTTCGCCGCCCGATGCTTGGCCGCATGCGGGTCTGGGAGCGCAGGGCCCTGCGTGTCGTGGTCCACCCCGACCAGCTGCCCGCTCCACTGTGCGCGCTGAGCCTGTGCATTTTCGCGGGCGAGGGGGCAGGCGGTACCAGTCCGGCTGCGCTTGCCAAGGTCGGCCGCCCTGGCCCGCGACGCCGATGCTCATTTCCGCTCGGCTGCGAGTGGAACCCCCCCTGGCGAGCTGGAGCTGTCGACGTTCGAAGTCGTTGCGGTCGCAGTGGCGCAGGCGCTCGATGCGGTCGCGTGCCGAGGCGGCGCTGGGGGCGCGACGGTCGACTGCGTGACGCTCACTTCGGCGGCGTCGCGAGCCTTCGCCTCAGTTGCAGTAGATATGAAGTGGGCTCGACGAACTCTCGGACCAGCGCGGCTGCAGCTGGGGGGCAATGCTTCCAGCCTCGAGCGCCCGGCCTGCGCAGCGGCGCCCATCCTTCGCCCCGAGGCAGCGGCGGGACCTGGGCATCCGGGCGGGCCCTCCATGGTCCGAGCTGCGCAGAATAGCTGATGTCGCGCGCGCTGCCTGCAGAGGCCCCCAGGTCAGCGCGCGAACGGACTGGCGCTCGACGTCCGGAGCGCGGGCCATGCAAGCCTCGAGGGCTGCTCCACAGATTGGCGGCGTTGGCAGCGAGGGCGCCGACTTTGGGGCTTTCGCTCGACCAATGCCAGCGCGCTGAATCACAGCGGAGCGCGTCGTGGAGGATCCTGCGGTCCGGGCGATCCCTGACGGCTGGCAATGGCTGGCCAGCGGGGCGCCCCCGTGCTCGCTTTCACCGTGGCTTTCGTGGTGACACCGGTCTACTTGGCATGGTGGCTGATGAGGTGGCTGCGCCAAGGTCTGCAGAGTGCCGGGCGTGGCCTCAGTCCCCATCTACTTAGAGGCGCGGAACGCTTGCTTGACCGAATCCCTGATCGAAGGGGCAGGGACGGGGGAATGGAGCAGCGAGGAGGGGGCATGGGGGAGGCGGAAGGGGGGGGGAGGGGCAGCAGGGCGAAGAGAGGGAGGAGGTCAGAGGAAGGCCGCGGAACAAAAAGAGGAGGGAGGGGGGCGAGCACGCGGGGGAGGAACAGGAGGGGCGGGGGGGGCGGGGGGCGGAGGAGGGGCGGATGACGGGCAGGGAGGAGAGGAGGCAGATGGGTGGACGATCGCGAGGCTCCAGCCCCAGTGGTCGGGCGGGGCCAAGGCGCGAGCCTTCCTCAGCGACCCGGTGATCCTGATGTGCGAGACTAGTTCCTCGAGGACATCCAAATAGACGTGGGGCTGGCCCGTCGAGGCGAGTATAGACTGGCTACTTAGCCAGGAGTTGGCGGCGCCGCGTACGGTGGCGAGCGCAGGTTGCGCGTGGGTACTGCATAGGACGACGATGTACACGTTTGCGTGCGTGTCCACGGTGGTCGACAGGACTTGCGGCCCTTCGTCTCGCCCCCGCGACGCGCTGGCGCACGAGGTAGAGGTGCGACATGCAGCGCGGCAGAGAGCTCAGGTGCTCACGGAGGGGTGTGTCCCCGACCGCATTGCGTTGCCGCCGTTGTGTTCGGCGGATCTCAAGCACGGTGCATGCTCTTTTCCCGCGGGCGCCCCGGCACCGGCTGACCGCCTGCATCCGTGGCAATTTACCATGTTGGCCGACGAGGCGCTGGAGGACATATCGGCGCTTTTCACTTGGCGGGATGCGCTCGGCCTCCCACCTCGGCAGACAACATGATGCCTGCGGAAGGAAGGTTGCTGTAGGCCGCCTGGTCGCGCTGTGCGCGGGCGCGGGCCGACTGCGGCAACGCGCGCGGCGAATTGCGCTGGCTGGCCTCGGGGCAGGGGTAGATCGACCTCGCCGGGGCGCCTGCAAGTGTCGAAGCGGATTGGGCTCCGCCCAGGCCCCAGGCCCGAGCTCCTGGGGTTGAGGTCCATTTTTCCATGGCCAGGTATGACGTTGCGATGATTGCGGATTGCCGTAAGTGTTTGTACTGCGAGCGGATCGCGCCGGCGGACTTGCGGGGCAACATCGCAAGCCGCGGGGCAGCACTAGGCTTCCATGTATAATGTATGGAGGGCGTCGAAGATCCCGCGCCTGCAACGAACTCCCCAGCTTGGGTATCCTTTTTCCCCTCATGCGAGATGCTTGCAGGCGACGACTGCTGCGATGTTCGGTGAGTGTCTGGGGTATTGATCATCGTTCGTGCATCCAGCAGGCAACAGCGAGGATCTGGTGTCGGATGTTGCTGCGACGGCCTTCGGTGACTTTCGCGAGGACGCAGACATCTTGGGGGCCCAGGGCAATGAGAAGCTCGGCATCGCGGGCGCATCGGTGGCAATCGCCCAGCGCTCAGAGCAAGCCGCCGGCCATCCACTGTCCGCGGTGCAGGGAAGCGCGGTCGAAGTCGGAATAGGCGGCGCTGACGGTCGCGCTCAGCGCGCGCCGTATGCCAGCGCCGAGCGTCTCTCGGTTTCCAGGAGGCTCAGTCAGCGAATGAGGAAATAGCGAAGGTTTGGCAACGTCCTTGCTGGCGTCTACAAGGCGCTTGAAAAAAGTTATCTCATCGATGCTTGCTTGCATGTTGTATTTCTCCTGAGGCGGGCCACGCCAGCGGAATTGCATGCCTCGGCGACGGAGGGCGGGCGACGATGCAAGCTGCCCGTGCAAGGAGGCAGCTTCCCGCTCATGGGTGCGTCAGTGTTTCGGTGAATCTGGCGCCTTGAGGAGATGGCGCAGTCGAGTTGGCGGTGGCCCAGATTGCGCAGCGGCGCCGCATGTTTCGGATTGTGTCCACATCGACGAGATCGATGGTCAGCGTCAGTCACTTGCCGCGCCTGTCTGGAATCTCGGCCTGAGGCGTGCAGCTGCTGAGCAGCGAGCCGAGGGGCTCTGCAGCGGGGGGCTCTTGCGGTCCAGGGAGCGGGCTGGGCGATGCCATCGGGGGCGGGATTGGCTGATCGCCGAGGTTACCAGATTTGCGTGACGATGCTCCTCCCCGTTTGCCTGCTCCGCTGTTGCAGCCAGGCGTCTGGTGATCCCATGGGGTTGATTTAGCTGCCATGTTCCAGGCGCTGAATACCAATGTGGGCGATGCTGTGCGCAAGCATGAAGATGGTTCCTCCGTTCTTGCGCATGCTGATTTCGTCGAACGCGTTTTTGGCGAGATAGGCAAACATTGGTGTAGGCGTGAGTGTTCGATCAGCTGTTGCTCTTACCAGGGGCTGTGGCCTCGCAGATGAGCTTAAAGAGCAGGATGCCTCACGGACGGCTTGCGTGCTTGTGGGGTGAGTGTTTCGAGGGTCAACACCCGTTTCAGTTTATGTTGCTTCAGGTGGTTACCACCACGGCCCAGGCTAATGTACCAAAATGTACCAACGAATGTGTTTTGAAAGTGTCCTTGCCTGTCATTAGAAGATTCGTACCTGGGGCCTGTTCCTTCAAGATGAGCGATTGATGCCGTCACCCTCGTGTGCCTCCGAAGTGTGGATTGGGGTTTTAATTCCGTCACCCTCGTGTGCCTCCAAAGCGCGGATTGGGGTTGGTTGTGGAATAGACGTGGCATCGAAATCGTGGTCCCAGCGTTTGGCGAAGAGGTCTTGGGGCGAATGAAATGGCTCGCTTCGGGCCCCCCCTCATGTTCCGAGCATTGTTGGTCATGTTACGATGTGATCGGTTGGCCAGGCCGCAGACAAGGCGTGTTCAGTTTCAGCCGGCTGCACGAGTGCGACCAAGTAGCTTGTGCCTTCGGCGGCTCGGTAGTCTGATGCGTCAAGCCAGCTTGCAGGCGTACGTAGGTTTGCCAGGCCCCTCCTCAGATGAAAACGCGTGTCGGCTCGGAATGTCAATGCCCACTTGCCGGCACAGGAGAGTAAAAAAGCGTGCTGCTACATCTGCTAAGCCTGCTGCTGCTACGATGTTGCCATTCTTCGAGGCCGCGGCTGCCACGCGATGGCGGCGACCGACGTCCTGCAGAATTGGGGGAGGAGGAAGGTTTTTCCGAATGGGGTGGTGCGACTGAGTTTTTGGGGAGTGCTTCTGCGTCGGTCAGGGAGCACGCGATACCCTGTGCCGTAGACTCAGGATGCTCGCGGCCACATAATCGCGGCGGTCTCTGGGTAAAGGCTGGCATCCGCTCGTGCGACCTCAGAGGTCCAGCTTTGCCTGCGGTGCGGGGGGGCAGGGGGGCGCACGATGCAGGAACGAGGTTCGGTGAACACTGCTGCCTCCCGGCCTGCGCGGCCAGGAAACTCTTGTGGCTCTTTCGGAGAGGATTGGCACTCAATCCTCGGGTGAGAGCCTCCCTCGATGCAGGTGAGCTTGCGCCAGGCAGGGCACACTCGGATCCTGGGAGATTGTGCTCTTGGTGTGCAGCCGTACGAGCAGCCTATGCAAGCCCTGCAAGCCCTTGCATGAAGAGCCCGCGAGCGCGAGCGACAGCGAGCGAGTGGCAGCGTACAG